TAATAATTATAGGAGATTCCAGTTACATGTAAAAGAACAAATAACAGATTAAAATACTGAGTTTGGCAAGGGAGTTATCAGAAAAATGCCTGTGGTCTGGCTCATCATTAAATGACAGAAGGGTGTAAAAGATAAGGATTAGGTATAATGCTAAAATATCTGTGGGTAGATAACAAACAAGTTTATAGTTATCAGGGATGCTGCTTTTAGCTACCTCAAATTCTCAGCAGGTATATGAAGAGTCACATCCCCCCATCACTTCTGAACTTTGTCTCTGTGACAATTCAGTAGTCTTTTTGCTAATCTCATGGTACATCTCCTTACTGACCCAGACACCTATCCTGTAGTTCTACCAGACACTCTACTGTCTATTATTACACACGTAAAAGAGCACATGGATAGTTACACAAAAATCTTACAGAATCAGAAGCCAGAAGTGGAATTAAATAGGAACAAATAGGAAATGCCATAAAATTAATGGACTCTTATATCAACGGCTCTAACAATTATTAACTGAGTGACTTTGGGCAAATTACTTAGCTTCTCCACAGCTCTTCTCCCTTCTCTGTAAAATGAGTTTTATCATTTTGTCGATAATATTTATTGTCATTATGCAATAGGAAATGTGCTGGGTACTAGTGATAAAAAAGTGACAGCATTCTAGGTAGCCCCAGGGAGCTCACAGTCTGGGGAAAGAGACACACTTATCAAGAGATAATGGTCACATGGTAAATGCGATAAGAGATGTCACGTGGGTGGAAGCACAAAGAAAGCATCTAAGAATGGGGAAGTTTGGAAATAGGGGCTCAGCATTTGTCTTGAGGGGATTCAAAAAGATCACTGTACAAAAACACCTAGCACACTCCACATGTGTAATGGGGGCTCTGCTTGTTGCTAAGCTGCTTTAGTTTCCTTCTTGAGTGACTTTAGTTAGAAACTCTTGCAACAGAACTGAGCATTGTACACTGGGCAACATCAAAGTTGTGAAACATAAATCCCTTCAGGGAGATAAAAATCCTGCATTCTTTAAGAATGAGTGGTACATAGACTGTACTCAAGAAACTGTCCTAGTACTCTCTAAAGCCTGGAATTTAATAAATTTTCTTAATTAAAGCTAGCTTGCTGTTTCAAAGACTCCACCTAGTTGACAAACCATAGGGAGTCATGAAGAAAAATACACAAAGAAACTAAGAAGAGTAGAAAATATGAACTCAGCCAAGATTTTTCTCAAGAACTGTGGCCTTTCCCCTGACCATGCCCACACTTTTTTTTTTTTTTAAAGACTTATTATTTTAGAGACAGAGAGAGAAAGAGAAAACACGTGCCCATGTGCGTGAGGCGGGCGGGGGGGGGGGGGAAGGGGCAGAAGGAGAGGGAGACAAGCAGACTCCCTGCTGAGCCACAGATCAGGACCTGAGTTGAGATCAAAAGTCAGATGCTTAACTGACTGAGCCACTCAAGCACCCCTCCCCTGACCACTTTTATAATTATTTAAAAACTGTTACACATGTTCTTGGAACTGCTTTTCAAGATAAGAAGTACAAAATCTTTGGAGTGTGAAAACACATAGAATGAATGAATGAATGAGTGAATGAAATGGGTTTCTAGTGTACAGTGTTTGAAATACTTAGTTGCCATTCCCTCTTTCCCTTACTCTTGTCATTCAAACAATCAATTATTCTGCTGATCCTAGATCTGGCCTCAGAATCTTAACACAATTAACCAGGAAGCCACTAGCAACAGAATGAAATTACTGTACCTACTGGAAGCGAAATGGGAGGGATCGTAGTGAGTATGAAAAGGGGTTGAGGCTGTCCTTAAGCATGGCACAGTGAAAAACAGGCATTAATAAAGGGGAGGTATGCGTGCATGCCTGGTGGTATGGAGGCCATCTTCTTAGCTTCCTGGTGGCTGAACTGAAAGAGGCTCAGTTGGGCCTGGAGAAAGGCAGTGGATGGGTTTTTAATGAACATATAATCTGGGGGAAATGTGAGGAAAAGCTGGAAAAGGCCGAGGAAAGGAAAAGTCATGTCAAATTACTGTTTGCTTTTTGCAAATTGCCCCAGACCACTTTCATATAACAGATCACATATGTAACCTCCCTTTCCTCTTCCACTTTTAGTGAGGCATGAACTGGCTGGGGTATAGAAGGGCCTGGGGCATCTCTTTGCCTATTGTGTCTTATAGTCATTTGTGTGCTTCTTATTTTTTCCTACTAAACTGCAAACTCCTCGAAGGTGAGTATGTCTTACTGCTCTTCACATCCTCTACAACACTGACTAGCCCAATTATTATTATGTAAATGGTGGACATTAAGTATCTTTGCAGTTGAGCTAAGAATTCACATGCCTTTCTGCATATAATGGCCGCTGATTCAAACATACCGTGTCCTAGAAAACATTCCCATCATTTCAGGGTGCTGTCTCCTATCCGGCACTATACTAGGGAGTTCATCTCAGTGGCAGCATCCCTTTCAGCCATACTTTGTCAACAAATGAGAGCAACCACAGAGCTTTACAAGCATGTGAGTGCTCCCCTCACTGAGGGGTTTCTCAATATCTTGGTGAAGTGAGTGCTTTTGGGTGTTCTCATGGAACATTGGAGGGGGGGGGTGAGTGCGTAGGTAACACATGATAGAGTTTAACATTCCTATCTCCCTAGGCCCTTGGATTCCTTTAGCTACATCATGCCAGGAAAGCTCTGGTATCTTAGCTGTATTAAATGTAGGTCATGATTGAGACCAAGTTTCAGTCAATCAATCAAATTGTGAGCACCACCATTAGTTTTATGAACTAGCACATGAACTCTGGAATCTCTAGTAAGTACACTCATATTGAAGAATTTGTCCCAATCTAGTGTTGTATTTCATCCTTCTCAGTCTAACACTCTTAGAATATACAGCCATGCATGTTCCCAATTTCTGCTGATAGAGGTTACCAAAGGCTTGCCAGTATTTTGGTGTGTAAGCTATTTCTTCCTGCTTCATGGTGTGTACCTGTCATCATGAAACATGCTGAGATTTAACCCTAGTTGTAGGTCTACGAGATACAATATGCAATAGGAGATGGTTATGGTGGGTCTTGAGGAGAAGAAACATCCTCTCTTAAGGACTCTGCCCCAGCTGAGATTATCACAGAATTTTTAAGCAATAAGGCTAGTCTCCTGAGGGCAGGCTACTTTAATTAACTGAAGAACCTTAGAGTGACTTATAGTTTAAGACTGTCAGTTTCATCTGGGTCTAAGCAGATGTCCCCTCTCCAACTTCAGGATCTCATTCTTTCCCGTGGAATACCCTAATTTTTAAGTGAAAAATGTGATGGGACTGTGAATTCAATTATTGCTATAATTTAGCAACTCTTCAAATTTTGTGCATGATTCTCATCAACATCATCCCTCTGTCTGCAAGAACTAAAAGATTCTTCTATAGCTATCATGGAAGCATTCTGGTCTTATGGTGTGACTGGAACTGAGAGTTCAAAGATGAACTTGTCATTTTTTTTTTTCATCACTTTCTCTCGATAAGAACTAAAGTGCATTCAGAAGAATCTGTCCCATGCCACTGTCTTGATGGGCATCTTAAGTGCCATAATGGTCAAGTACAACAACACTTGAGCAATCCCTTGCTACAGTTGGTATGTCATCATAATCAACCACAAGTGGTAGTTTAATTGTAATGCCCTTACCTCATTTCCCACTGACAGGAGTTCAGCCAAAAGGCATGACCAAAACAATTCCTAAATTCTTTATATGTTTATCTCCTGGGACCACTACTGATGCCAATTCTATGTATCAGGGTCCAATCAAGAGAGAAATCAAACAATATTTTGAACATGGAAGGTTAAATATAAAGAATTATTCCTTCTAACAGGGAATTAGAATGATAAAAAGATGGTTAGTAGGAGCAAAGAGAATTCTAAAGAATATAGGAAAATCAGATATAGGGATCATCCAATTTCTCTTAGGCCTGAGATGGACCCTTTTTAAAGAAGTCCAGTGATTATGGCTCATTTGAGTTCAGAGGGGTTTGCTCAAGGCTGCCTAATGGGTGTGAGGGGCGGCTGCTTCTGGAGGGTATTGTATTGGTGGTCTCCACTGTGAAGCCACTTGTGAAGCTGTTCATGAGGGTTGCCTGCAAAGTTGCCTGAGAGGGCTTGTGGAGAATTTGCTCATGGGGATTGCTACCCAGCATGGGCTGCAGAAGCCTTGTGTGCTGGAAGAGCCCACCTAAAGAATACGACACTACACAGGTGGAGAGATCTCTTCTTCCTCTAGTGTCCCTCCAGTGCCCTCTACTGACAAAGCTTAGTTTCATGACAGCTAGAGAAGGAGAAATATTTACAGGGTTTATCTTTATTATCACAAACCAGGCAGTGAAGAGTATTTTTGGATTTTTGAGGCAAAAACTTGATAAATGGCTCAATAACCCATTTCCTTTAACTGGAAAAACCTTACAATGAGGACTGGATTTTACTAGGGGCTCCGGAAGGCATTAGAAATGGCCCTTTCGAGAAACCGATAAAAACCATGGACTTTCTCTCTGGATAAATGCACACATGAGCATAAGTGCACAGTTCTGTAGATGATTCAAGGTATATCTCTGAACTCAGATTAAGAGATAAGGCCATGGGTAAGGCCTAAGGACTATTCTCCAGGTTCAATTTAGTGATTATTCTTGACTACTGTGGAATAGCAAATGTAGTATTCCCAAATTCAACTATATTTGCTTTTAGCAACAAATGTAAACATTTATAAACATTTGAGAAATAGAGCCAATAGTGTTGAGGATGGTTCTAATTTGGGGGGAAGGAAATTGGTGAAAGATCTCTGGCGGGGGAGAGAGGAAAGGCAAGCAGTTGTGAAACAATCACAAGACTATGACTGGGATTTGGACTTGGATGGTTGTATATTGAGAGAACGGGGTGTCTACTATGACCTGTTATGCTTTGGTAAGGGTCATTATGGTGGTAGCTGGCTTCCACTATGAGACTGATGGTCCTTACCTCCTGGTATTCATGCTTGTACGTACTCTCCTCCCACGCTGACTTAGGGCTGGTTTCTGTGACCAACAGAGCACCATGGAGGTGGTATGGTGTGACTTCTGAGATGAAAGGCATTCCTGCTTCTGCCTTTGTCTCTTGGACCTCTCATTCTGGGGGAATCCCGCTGTTGTGAGGACACTGGAGCTGTGCGGTGAAGAAACCTACATGGGGAGGAAGTGAGATTTCACACTAATAACCAGTCCAGCTTGTCAGCCTTACAAGTGAGCCACTTTGGAAGAAGTATCTCCAGTCATCCCAACAGGTCCTGACCTTCAGAAAATTGAATCTGAATTCCTGCAGCTGAAATCCTGCCTACAATTTCATGAGAGACTCAAACCAACACCACTAGCTAACCAGTTCCCCAAATTCTGACCCGCGGTTTTGGGTGTATATTGTTTCGCAGCAATAGACAATCCATAAATTTAAGTCAAAATTCTCTAAAGGGTGAAAAGTATAAGGGATTTGCCCTTCCCTGCTTCTCTCGTCACCTAAAGAAGTCAGTGAGGTATTATTTGGCTACAATTTCCTCCAAGGACTGTCATAAGTAAGTCACTAGATTGAATTATCAGGGAGAGACTTCAGTCTTAGCCAAATGGTCACTCTAAGTATCGACTAGATACATAGTTTCTGAAAAGCAGAAATCCAACGGTGAAACCAGCTTATGAAGATTTCTACTAATGCACACATTAATAGAAATACAGATGTGTCCTTATGAAGACTATTCTAAGGAACTTATGTGTCTAAATGCTTATTGCAGTCACCATAATTGATGAGGGATACACAAACTACTGTGTCCAAAGGTGAGTCAGTATTCTGGGTGATCTGGAAACTATTCTTAAGGATGACTGAAGGATCTGGGCCTTTTTAGTCTGGAGAAGTCAGAGTATTTATTCATTTGAAGGGCTGGCATGTGGTATAAGGGTAACATATTTTAGATTCGGCAAGAGGAGAAAAGTTGTCTAATGGCAAATAATAGGAAGGCAGATTTTAATTCGCTTATAATAACCATGGCTGTTGAACATCAGGTCATGCTGTAGTGAAAACAACAGTGTTCCTTCTCCTTGGAAGGGTTCAAGCCAAAGTTGGCTGACTGCCCTTCAGAGATATGGTGATTCTGGCAGTAGCTGGAATACTGATCTAGATAACTTCTAAGATGTTGTTCCTGAAAGCCTTCTCCTCCTGAATGTGTCTTGGTAGGTATGAATATCTTTAAATAAGAAAGTTCAGTGTAGTGGGAAGAGTCTGCATTATACAGGAGTCAGAACTAGCTGCGTGATTTTGGGCAAGACATTTCGCATTTCTGCACTTCACTGTCCTCACTACCTCTCAGGGCTGTTCTGAGAACTCATTAGATGACACATCCCTCAAATCACCCATTTGGCGTTTAATGCATGTGTGGTTTTCTTCCTTCCATTTCCACAATATGGTTTATAATCAAACATCTGGGACCCATTAAGATTTTGAAAGTGTAGTGTTGAAACGAGCTAATTTGCCTAGGCTTTAAGTGTAGGATTTCATTGTTTTTAAACAATGAACTTGATTAACATTTGATTAGATACTTTGTGGCACAGCGTCCTAAAAAAAAAAAAAAAAAAAAGACAAGTTTGGTGTAAGTAGAAATAGAAGGAATCAGAAACCAGATGGCCAACATCATCTTTGAAATTTGCAACTGCAAGATCATCACTTGACTGAAGTCTTTCCTCTCAAGATTATTAAAAAAAAAAAAAAAAATCAAAACACCACAAACTATATTATTCAACATCAAAAAGTATTTTACCTTCCTGGAAGATAGTCCAAATTTCAGTTAAGAAAAGTTCAGTAACAAGCACTTTATTTTCTTTAGATTTTTAGGAGAAACTGTTATCTCACAGTATGAGTCAATATATGCTTATCTAGCTATCTTCTTTCCCACCCCAAAGATGAAAAGAATTGGAAAATGTCCCACAAATACTGTAAATCAACTCATGATTTACAAATAATTTTCTTTTAGACGTGTTTTACTTTCTTAACCCCATGGGCAGAAGTCACCCTGAACTACTGAATTATCTACTAGGATTATGTGTGCTGAATAGTTAATATTGTTCAAGTAGATTTAGTCTTTTTTTTTTTTTTAAAGATTTTATTTATTTATTTGACAGAGAGAGAGAGAGATCACAAGTAGACAGAGAGGCAGGAAGAGGGAGAGGCGGAAGCAGGCTCTCCGCTGAGCAGAGAGCCTGATGTGGGGCTCCATCCCAGGACCCTGAGACCATGACCTGAGCCGAAGGCAGAGGCTTAACTCCCTGAGCCACCCAGGCACCCCTTAAGTATATTTAGTCTTAACCACCATAAATACTTTACTATCTATTAGCATCACACCCTTAAGTATTCTCATTGGAGGCTCTTTTTTAGCAATAAATGGTAACTGAGATGTACAATTGTTCTTTCCCATTTCCATTTATCTGTAACTTGTACAATGATCTAAATAGGCAGTTCAATGCTCATAGCAGTCTTTAAGTAACTGCAATCCTGCATCTCCTCAATGCTAACAAATTTTTTCTACCCCAAATTCCAAGGTAAACACTATCCACATTTTGGGGACCATCCTTTCATACATTGTTCTATACACATGTATACTTAACAAAAATGGGATCACATTCCAGGATCATGTGTTATGGCCAAATTCAACAGCATCAAAAGCATTTCTAAAGCACTTAGGTGACTGTGAAATTTAAAAAAATCATTTTTGTCTATATCATTTTTATAACCATATATTTCAATCTCTTGAATGTTCATTACATTTTTAAATGTTTTTGTCCGTACTAGTGAACCTCTGCTTTAAATAGTGAAGAGCACAGTGAAATGCACATTCTGCCTTAATGTTAATAATTACTAACGTATATATCACCAAAAATGGACATTTCACAGTGCCAACTGAGATGACCACATTACTCAGTCTAAGTCACAAGCGTAAGTGACAAGAGTTGCAGAGTTGGGTGGAGGTGGTTGCGGAAACTTCCTGGCTCAAACGGGAAATGGACACAAAAGAAGTCTTAGGGCAGACAGCTTACATGGACTTACATGGTCGCACAATGATGCCATAAAGGATCTAGCCTCTTTGAATTGTTCTGCTCTGTCATCCTTGGAATGCAGGCCTCTGTTCCGTTTGTTGCTTCATGACCGAACTATAGCTGCTGCACCTCTGGCATCATATTCCTCAAGCAAAAAAAAAAAAAAACAGGTTTAGGACATGTTCTGGCCCACAGAACATGTCCATCTAAAAGCTTTCTTGAGAGGGCCAGTGGCAACTTCAACTTTTGTCTAATTGGCTGGAGCTGCGTCAAATGGACTACCCCTAGATGTACAGGAGTCTAGAAAAGGTATTTTTAGCTAGAATTAAGTTAAAGTTCCATTAGGTTGACTAAATACTAGGTAGAAAGAGACCGGGTCTGCTACAGAAAACCTGAGTCATAGTAAGCTATCTTCACTACATGATAAAAAATAAAGGGGGCCTCACTCTTATTTCTGAAGAGCATTTAGAGGGTATGGCTCAAATATGGTAGATGTCCTACCACAAAGAAGGTGGTGAAGGAAGTTAGGGTGTAAGGGATCCTGCTGCATTAGCTATAGAGGAAGAGTTTCCTCCTTGGTCACTAAATGGTAGCTAACCTTCATTAACCCTTCTGAAGGCGAGAGGGAAAAAGACTAGCTCTCTTTATTATCTGCTTGCCTTGTCCTGTAAGTGGAAGTGTAAAATGCACGTCCAACTTTAACTTGCTGTACTGATCCCCAAACCCGTGCAGATAATGGAGAATAAGTCAGTTTTGGGCAGTGGACAAAACCTTTGCGTTTTATGCCCAAGCCGTGAAACAGAAAAATAACACTCTCATCTTTCTTCATCTCCCACTGAACGAAACACACAGTAGGGGCTCAGTAAACACTTGCCAACTTCTGTGAAGACTAAGAAGAAAGAGATGGAAATTAACATCTGAGATACTGTCATATGCCTGAACTGTACCAGAAGGCTTACATACGTGGCTCATGTGCTCATCAACACGCAGTTAGCTATTACCGTTTGGAGAACTAAACCTAGGCTCAGAAAGGATAGCCAGGGTCACACGGAAAGTAAAGGCAGGCTTCAGGCTTCAATGAAAGCCTTTGCTCCCTACGCAGTGTACCCCAGGGTCTCTCCTCCACCAAAGGTCCTGGTACCGTGCTTTGCAGATAGTTGACACAAGACATTTGGAGCGGAAGTTTGATTCGGCATCTTGAAGGACACTAACTTCTGCAGAGAAACTCTTAGGGTGGAGAACACTTCTCCAGTCTTCAGGGTGTGGTCAAAACAGGACGTGCTAGCGCCAGCTCAGCTCGTGGTGAGGCCTGAGCACGGCTGGGGGACGGGACCGAGCGAGCGAGCGGTCAGGCCAGGTGGGCTCCAGCACAGCCCAGCGGCTTCGGGGCGACCTGGAGCTCAGCCCGCTGTCCCCCGGGCGGTCAGGGGGCGGCGGGGGGCTCCGACTACAGAGCCAAAGCCGGGCGCCGGGGCGGGCCGCGCGTGACGCACTTCCGTCCTGCGCCTTCCGGCTTAAAGGGGCCCCGGTCCTTCCTCGTAACAACAACAAAACCAGCGCGCTCGCGCCGGGACCCTGGGCTTCTAGTCCCCGCCCTCCTGCCACCTGCCGCCGCCTTGGCCGCGCCCGGCCCTGCGCCGCGCTGCCGCGTCCCGCCCGAGGGGTCAGGCGGAGAGCGGACCGCGCCCTTTGGCCAACTTCTCCCGCGGCCACCGCGCCGCCTCGCGAGACCCGGGGCCGGGCTGTGGCCGCCGCGGAGCAGCAGGAAGGGAGCGGCCGCCGCGGAGGACGCCCGGTGGGACTGTGCGGACGGCGGCCCTGTCCGGGCGCGGAGGGCGGCGGTGGCGGGCCCCGCGGCCTTCTTTCAGGTACCCCCTGCCCCGGCGGGTCGCCCTGAGCGGCTCGGCCCCTTCTCTGGTCCGTTTGGCAGGGCCGTCGCGTAGGGGCCTTATTGCGTTTCAGCTTGGGGGTCGCGGCGGGGCGGGGCAGTGACTCCCTCCCTTATCATTGCTTTCTCTCTCTTCCTCCCGGCCTCTCTCCGCAGTCCGGAGCCCGGCGGAGCCCGGACCTGGCGGGGAAAGCTGCACCCACGGCCGGGTCCCCGGACCCCGCCGCCGCCACTGTCCATCATCCTTGGTACCGGCAATGGCCTTTGTATCGCCCGATGCTCTTGTGACTGACTTGGACACGGAATATTAAGAACCTACTTGCTGCCATCCCTGTGCCAGTCGCGCCGGCAGTTACCACCTCGGCTCATTTGGGCTGCTCCTCTTGATTGTTCAACTCGGGGGCACCATGGACCAAAATGGGATGGAGATTCCTGTGACCCTCATCATTAAAGCACCAAATCAGAAATACAGTGACCAGACTATTAGCTGCTTCTTGAACTGGACCGTGGGGAAACTAAAAACGCATCTATCTAACGTGTACCCTAGCAAACCAGTAAGTGTCTTAAAAGCTGGGCACAGCTGCTCTGGCCAGCAACTTTTCGTGCCATGCACTCCCGTCTCTCTGTTCATCCCCTCCCCTCTTGAATCAAATAGGTCTCTTGCTAGACTGCGAAGTATTTTGAGTTCCGAGGTGTGTGTGTGTGTGTCTCTTGAGTGTCTCAGCCATCATTAATATCTTCCTCATGAGGTTCAGTTAATTAGTAAGAGTACTGTGTACAAAAATATCAAGGGACATAATAACTGACAGGCATAAAAAAGGATCATTTTCATTAGACTTAAGTCATTGGCCTAGTATGGGAGAGACAGATGGATCCTTAAAAAAAAAAAAAGGTAAACACTGCAACCTATATTAAAGCTTTTATTGCTTTAGTTAGGCATTGAGACTTTTAGAAGAACTACAAAAATAAGGCAGTTACTGCAAAAGCAGGAGGTTTAGAAAAACAACTCTTAGTTGGTCTTGTCAGTATTTTTGATACAAATATTTTTAATAGAGGAAATAAAACCCCCGAGTTATTTAAGTGCTTGGAACAAACTAGCTGGAACTGTCATTTTTTCCAGATCCTTTGTTTTAAAGTTAAGATTTTCACAGGGGTAACAGACTTGTTTTAAAATTTTCTGGTTTACAGAAGATTTCCTATTGCATATGATACATTCTACACATTTTCAAAGTAGAAAAATAGTTTTTCAGAATAGTCAGAATTGAAAGTCAGATACTTCCATAGTGCTGTTTATAACATAGCTGGAATACCATTCCTAAATATATAAGTATATACCAGAGCATATATCTAAGTGTGTGTTTGTGTGTCTCTGTCTCTATATATGTATCTATATATAAAAGTGTGTATATACATATACATTTAGATATATGCTCAAGTATGTGCTTACATGAGATCTTTATATTGTATGATTAAACCAACAGGGACTTGGTTTGCACTATGGTAGACCAAGAGTTACCACTTTTCTAAAACTTTTTCTTTTTCAAAAAGTATCTAAGAGAATAGTGGTGTGAAACCCATTTGCCTTACCTGCACCCTAGAAGTCAGTTTTTGGCAGGAGTTCTGCCCTCCTAGTACTAATCTCTAGTACCTGTATGGATCATTTAGTTGCTGGGAGGACAGATCAGTTGCAAACTTTTCTACACCGTTTCCTTAACCCACTTACAACTCGTACACACACTTCCAGGTTTAACTGTGGCAAACTTGACTTTTCTCTTCTCTTCCAGCAAGTCATCTCCAAGTGAATTGTATTTTTTTAAAAAGATTTTATTTATTTATTTGACAGAGAGAGTGCGTGCATGCACAAACAGGGGGTGCTGCAGAGGGAGAGGGAGAAGCAGACTCCCTACTGAGCAGGGAGCCGAATGAAGGGCTCAATCCCAGGACCCTGGGATCGTGACCTGAGCTGAAGGCAGATGCTTAACCCACTGAGCTACCCAGGCACCCCTCCGGGTGAACTGTAATACTAAAATTTATTTCTAGTTAATGAGAGTGGGTGGAACTGGGGGTGAGGACCATGTGTTTGTTGTCTTAGAACTTTACTGAAAACTTCCCATGGTTATTAGATTTGACAGGCTTACATTCTAATTTACTTACCACATGAAAACTGATTTGAAGTTTTTAAATTGTTGAACACACCAACTATTTCATGATACCCCACAGGTAGTCTTCAGTATAGGAACTGGAGTATTAGAAGTTAACTTTATAAGATGGTTATTTAGAACAGAACATTTTGTAATATAAGCAATATTAATATATTATGAGGGAAGTTTGGGTTCTTATGAGCACCCACAAAGACTGCTTGACACTAATTCTGTGTTTAGGCATCCTAAGTGCTATTTGGTGTTTAACAGAGATTATTTCTTAGGCCTGATTCTTCGCACATCTGCCTGGTGGAGGTGGATGATTTAGAAGCAGAGTATGGTTCCAGTGCCTTGTAGAAGTAAGTGTTCTCCAGTAAGGAGTAGAAAAGTTGATGGCTCTGGTCAGTAGCACTCTAATTGGGTCTGATGGGCCAAGGGTGGGTGGAGGGCCTTCGTCTCTGTGGGCAGTGGTTTCTAGGAAAGTAAATAGGAGCTGCTAGAGGGAAAAGAATGGAGATTTGAAGTTGTCCTTTTAGGATCTCTAAAATAGGTCACATGTCTACTGCTGTTAGCAGAACTCTGGCTAAACTCTGAGCTAACAGAGTTAGCTCTTAGCTAACTAGCTAAACAGTTAACAGAACTGGCTAAACAAGAGCATATTTAGTCTTAAGATTTTAGTCTTATCGTCAGATACTGATTTGACTTAATCACAATCTCCACATGAATATTTGAAATTCAATTTTCCATCTGTCAGTAAACCCGCAGCAAATAAACCCTTTCCCACCAAAGCATATTTTCTTGGGCTTCATTTATTTATTTAATTGGGATTTTATTGACCTGGCATTTGGGTGTCTATATGTTAAGCATGAAGGTGATGATGATTCCTTTGCTGTTATGAAGCTCAGATCTAGTGGGGATACAGATATGTAGTAAAAAGCTCTAGTATTATGTGACTTGTGTTACACGAGAGGGATGCTGTAGGAGCATAGGGAGGGAATGGTCAACTCTGAAGGGGGGGGTAAGGGAATGTGTAGCTGATTTAAGAAAAGGTTCACAGTGACATTTTTCTTTATTTTCTTTATTTCTTTTCTTTTTTTTTTTTTTTTTAAGATTTTGTTATTTGAAAGAGAGAGAATGAGAAAGAGAGCATGAGAAGGGGGAGGATCAGAGGGAGAAGTAGACTCCCTGCTGAGCAAGGAGCATGATCCTCTGGGGTCAGAGATCATGACCTGAGCTGAAGGCATTCACTTAACCAACTGAGCCACTCAGGTGCTCTTGGGGACATTTTTCTTAAAGAGTTTGTAACAGTTTTAAGCAGACAAATAGCTGCTTTTTTTTCTTTTTTAAACCTTTTATTTCAAAGGTAATGTTGCTCTGATGATTCTCACTGTAATTCTGTACTATGTAAAAAGATTGCAGATCCATGATGGGCTCCAGAGGGGAAGGCGTTTTCTAGTTAGGAAATAGGGCAGTTGCCATATTTACATAAAACTTTATAGTGCCATCACTAAAAACCTGGAATTGAACTCTTTGGGAGTTTTCTTTAACTTTGAATGTTATTGATAATTGGTTTAGGATTTGGTGTAGGAATTGAAAAGTGCATCAGTTCATGTTGATAGTGTACATAGATAATTGTGAATTATGTTGTGATATGACATTTGTCATCACTTCATGACTTTAGATTTTCAGATCCTGAAATTGGCCTGTAATGTGAAATAATTATTCTGTAAATTTGGGTAATTGCTCCTGGGGCGTGAAGATATCTGTCGGGAAGGCGACTTTTACTTGAGTAGTTTGTGACTTTAATCCAGTTTAAGTTTATTTGCTAGAGATGTAAATATGAAAATAGCTGAACTTAATGTTATTCAGTAGAATGGACTGTCTTAGAGAAAACTTTAAAAAGTAGGGATCTCTAAGTCTTATTAGGCCTCTTTCTCATTATTGCTTCTTTCTCTCATACACAAACAATAACTAAGATGGACCCGACTCACCCTGAATTCAGTTTTGAGGATAAACTGGGGCTTTCCTTAGCTTCTCACTTTTCAGTCTTGAGGTCAAAATGCTTGTTAAACGTGTCCCTCGGTTCTGGGTAGATTTCTTTTGTCTAGGTGCTTTATACTCTTAAAACTAAAGCAGTCAATATCATTTCCTCTTCTAGCTCTCCTGCTCAGCTAGGGAGGTTTGTTCTGGTTTTTCAAATTGCTCCACTGCTCTGAGATTATGTTAGAATTAAAGA